AAATTTTCTGGGACGTAATTTTAGGTTGAACATGATTTTTTGGGTGGGAAATGCCTTGTGGAAGAACTTTTTTAGCATCAAAAATCAAAATAGTGATAGTAGAGAGCACTTGCTCTGCCCATGGCTTCTCTTGCACGATTTTTCTTTGATTTTTTTTTTGCTGTGTGTAGGAATGATTTTGGAAATTACCCAACCCTCCCTCCTCCTCATCCTCGAAAAAAGATAATGGTCCATCCCTCAGAAGGATTTCCTTCCTTACACTACTTCTTTCATTTAGTATTTACACCATAAACTACGCATTATCCCAGAAGTGCAGTTCGTATCTGGCTGGGGAATGCGAAGGTACGGAGAGATGGAGGGGGTAGGTTTCAACATGACTCTCACCTTACGTTACATTCTCTTTATCCTTATGTTTTCAAATTGTTCATGAATTTAAGTATTGGAAGTTTCCATTTTTTCAAAAGCTGTGCAATGCCGTGCCATAAACGGCTCAGCAGGCTCCACACTGTAAAACCGCAAAAAAGACTTGCCTGTAGTTTGAGAGATTCCTCCCTCTCTTTTAGTGCACCGACTTCTGTTCTCAGCCGCGAGATTTCATCCTGATCGAGTAAGTAACAGAAAAAGAATTTTGTTAAAGAGAATCTTGTGAAAATAATCAAGGGATACACAGCATTGTGTTTAGTGAGATTGCCAAAAGACCCAAGAAAAAACAAAACAATAACAGTGGAGTTCTCTTTGGAACAATGTCAAATGGCGAGCATTAAACTGGATTAAAATGTCTGCTCTGACGTTTGTTTCCCTTTTAGGTCCCGTGCGCATTACGTCAGAAAAATTATTTATATCTACTGTTAGGTCTATCGTCCACACTAATCCGTCACGAAAACGGAGCTTTTGGAAAACGCTCTTCAAACTGGAGGAATTTGACACCGGCTTTTCGTTTTCGTGTGGACGGAAAGCATGTCAAATACGGAGCTTTTTGAAAACGATGACGTCACGATAATCACGTGATTTCCCCGCCCGAGTTTTCCTCAAACACAAATCCAAAATGACCGGTGATTGTTTCTCTGAATTCCCCCGGCGTAGTGTCGACGGAAAACATTTGATGCGTTTTCAGAGCGAAACCCCCGTTTTCAGATTCCTCAGGGGTAGTGTGGACGGGGCATCAAATTGTGAAAGAAGGAGCAAATAATCTTTGCTACATGTCGACGAAGGTCAACAGTTTTCTTGGTGACTAATTTTGTCGCAAGTTTCCAATAACAACTCTCACCTTAAGTGTTGTTTGACTGAAATCCTCGACGGGTTCCTGAGAAAAACAAACGCCAGTGAGAATGAAAACGTTTTCTTATATCATCGAAGTGATTCAATGAAGTGAAAGTGAAACTGCGCCTTGACCAACATTAAGATAGAAAAGTCTTGCAGTGCTGCACGTTAAAGAGCCAGCGATAGAGCTTAATGATTTGGTATGTCTGCACATCAAAACCCGGCGTGTGGAAATAAAATGCCTCTCAGTCACCAATGCAAGGTGTTGTGTAAACTAAAACGTTTTGTCGCGTCAGAAACACGGAAATAAAACGAATATGTATCGTATCGAACACGTAACGCAAAGTGACGTCGTCAGATTGTATAATATAGTGCAACGAAACGCAATAGCAGCTTAATGATGTCGAATGCTGTCCTGACAAACACAAAGTAGGAAAAATAATACGCGCGTTAGTATTAAGTGATAATTTCAACTGTGTTTTGAGAGTGAACTAAAGGTGGTGGCGTTATTAAGTGTTGCATGCACGGATATAAATATAATAAATAGCAAAATAACTGAGTTGATGTTAGAAAATAAGATATAATAGCAAATAAAAAACATAAACAACGCCTAGTCTGTTAAGCCCCTCACTGAAAAAATAACGAAAATAAAATCTGTAACAGCAGTGATCGTTACAGGTAAAATCGTCAAATTAATATGCAGTCAGAGTCAAGTTGTCGTTGGTGTTGATGTAAAAAGTCATAGATAGGCTTAAAAGTGCTTCCTGTTCTGTTCCTGTGTGCTGTTCCTACACTTCCTCGACTTACACTATTGAGAGACGTAGACGACCCCGCTCTCTGGAGTTGCTCAGGCTCGGCGTCAGTCAATACCGCACCCTGTGCTTGAATAAATGATTCCTTCTGATTCAACAACTTCTTCATTTCATTCTGGTTTTTCTTCATTTGAGTCTTGAACTTTTTCTCGACAGCAGCCACTTCGGACTTGCGATCTCTCGCCAGTGTCTCCAGCTCGTTCTTGTACCGCTCGTGTACCTCCTCCACTTTCGTACGGTGGTCTTGGTGCAGGTTTTCCATGTCTGCTTCGTTCTTTCGAACCATCTCTTGAATAGTTTCGTGATGTTCCTTCTCGACGTTTTGCAACGCTTCGGAATGAGTTCTATTCAGCTCAGTTATCTCACTGTCTTTCTGTGCTAACTGTTCTTCCATGGATGCTTTCAAGGCAACCATTTCTTCTTCTCTCAGTTTAAGTTCCCTCTGATACTCGTTAATTTCTAGTTTGTACTCGTCGATAATTTTCTGTTCCTCTCTTTGTCCCTTTTCTATCACTTGTCCCAGACTTTCTTGAAGTTCTCTTTCCTTCTCGCTGTATTTAATCTGAAATTCTCGAAGAAGCTGTTTGATTTTCGAGTTATAGTCCAACTCTTTGTCGCTCATTTTTGCTTTGAACCTCTTCTCGCATTTCTCCAACTCGCTTGCATGCTCTTTCCGCAAGTTCTCCATTTCCAATTCGCGCTCTTCCTTTAAAGCTGATTCTTGTTCGTGAAGCGCGTCCATTTTCTCGACCAAAAGATTCTCAATGTTTTCAGAGAGCTCTTTGTTCGCTGCTTCAAGGTTGTCCAATTTCTCCCGCATCTCTTTTTCGCGACCTTCAGCTTCATTCTCCTTTGATTGGCGCAACTCTTCAAGTTTCGTTTTCAACTCTTCTTGATGAAGCTGCTTTACACTTTCCATCTCCTCCTCGTGTTTCGCTTCAAGCTCCTTGATTTTATTTTCAGATGAATTCAATGATTCCTTAACGTTGGACAGTTCGGTCTCTTTCTCTACAGTTTGTGTGTTAAGCTGCTTTCTCAAACCCGCAATCTTGCTCTCTGCTTTTTTCTTCATCTCGGTCAGCTTGTTGCGATACTGCTCTGTCAACTCCTCTGCGTGTTTTCCCAGTTGTTGGTCCTTAGCTTCCTCGATTTCCTTGACCTTTTCTTGGTGCTCTTTTTCCTGCGCTTTAAGTTTTGACTCTAAACTTTGCGTCTTGGTCTCCATTTCAGCTTCCAGTGTCTGCACCCGATGTCGCCACTCGGCTTCTTTGTCTGCCAAAGCATCTTGAGCTTCCTGCTTTTCTTTACTCAACTCCGCCAGTTTTTGATCAACAGCTTTGTTGTTACTCTCTCCAGTCAGAATTTTCAGTTGTAACTCCTCCTCGCGTTTGGCAGCCTCTCGGAATTTATTCTCAAAACTTTCTTCTTTCTCAGCAAACTCTTTTTTTAAGGACGACAATGTATCGTGCAGTGCTTTAATCTCCTGATCAGATTTCTCTTGACTCTCTTGCAATTGCTGTATCTCTTGTTGATGTTTTGCTGTCATGTTTTTGATCTTTTCCTTGGCCTTTTTCACCTTCAGCTGCAGCTCTGAAGCGGTGTTCTGCACTTCGCTCAGTTGAGTCTTGGCTCTTTCCTCCAATTCCGCTCGCTCTTCGTTGTTTTTGTTCGTCATTTCCTGCAGAGCTTTCGAATGTTCCTCCGTTAAACTCTTCTTTTCTTCCTCCTGTTGCTGCAGTAGATTCTGTATCTGATTAGAGTATCTCTGGTTAATCTCGTCGCATTTTCCCTTCCATTTTGTATTCAACAACTGCACTTCTTGTTCTCTTTCCTTCTTCATTTGATCAAGCTTCTTCTGGAAATTCGTGGACGTCGCCTCGGATGTTTGTTTTACTTCAGTTTCTACCTTCTGTAGCTCGGCCTTCATTCTTTTTTCTCCCTCTACGAACCTCGCTTTTTCTTCCTGAAGTTCTGTTTCCTTTTTAGCTTGCTCTTTCTTCAAGTTGTTCAATTCTTCGTTCATCTTTTTTTCGATTTCACGATGCTTTGTTTGGGCCTCTGTGGCTTTCAGCGTCAACGATTCAACTTCTTTCTTGAGATTCTCTCTCAACTGTTCAACTTCTTTCTTGAGCTTAGTTTCTTCTACACACTTGGCTTCTAATTCCCCTGATAACCGGCGTATTTCCTCTGCCTGCTGCTTGTACGTTCTGCGCAAAGTATCGATCTCGTCAATCAGCTTTTTCTCCTCGTGATCAAACGCTGTCTTGATCTGCTCAGCTGACAATCTCATTTCGTCCATTTTAATAGCATTGACGGCCTCTGTTTCGCCCAGCTTTTCCTCGAGATTGCTAATCTGATCTCTCAACTTCCGCTCTTCCATTTCAAATGCTGTTTTCCTCTCTTCAGCAGATCTGCTCAATTCATCGATTTGTCCTCTCAGTTTCGTCTCTTCAATGCCAAATTTCCTCTCATTCTCTTCAGCAGACTTCTGCAACTCTTCCATTTTGCTACGGTGTTGGGTTTCCGCTTCAGATATCTTGACCTTGAGAAGCTCAAACTGTTCTCTCAGATTCGCCTCGTCGGTGGCAAACTTTTGCCTTCTTTTTTCCGTGGCTCGAGTAAACTCCTCCACTTGCTTGGCACTTTCAACTTCTAACTCCTTTATTCTCATTTTCAGTCGTTCGACTTCTTCAAGGTGCGTTCGCTCCTGATATGCAAATTTACCTTTTTCATCCTCGCCGGTTTTCAGCAGTCCCTCGACTTGCTTCGCATGGCCTTTCCGAAGCTCGTTCAGCTCGATCTCGTGGTACTTCTTGAGCTTCTCCATTTCAATGTTCTGCTTCTCGTAAATCTGCCTCGTTTGTGACAAATCTTGTTGGTAAGTGTTGGTCACTTCCTGCAGCTTCGCTTGAAAACTATTCCGCATCTCCTCGACTTCTGCCCGGTGCCTCTGCAGCGCTTCGTTTAACTGACGTTCAGCCTCCTTTCTGGTTTTCTCCAGGTCACTGTCACGACCCTCTAAAGCACTTTTCTGCTGCTGTGCAAGTTCCTCAATGTCCCTCAAAGACTGGTTCTTAATGTCCTCGATGTCGTGTTCGTGACTTTCGTTCATTTCGCTTATTCTATTTTCCATTTCCAAGTTTAGATTGTCGATTTGTTCTCTTAAACGTTTGTTTTCTTCGGCCAATTCTCTTACCTTCTCCAGGGCAGCGTCCTTCTCTTCTAAGACGCTGTTCACTTTATGCTGTAGCTCCTCCATTTTCACTTGCTGTACCTTCTCTCTTTTGGCGATTTCGTTTCTCAAGTTCACATTCTCCTTGGTCAGATTCTCCTCCTTCTCTCTCGCTTCGTTTAGCAATCTTTCCATGCTCTCTTCGTTCTCTTTTCGTATACTCACAACTTTGTTCTCCCAGCCAAGGTTCAGTTCAGAAATCTCAGCCTGATAGCGTTCTTCAAGCTTCGCCAATTCCTCTTTCCTCATATTTTCCAAGTTAGCCGTTACATCTTTGACTCCCATGTCGTGTTGCTGCGCGATTTCCTTCAGTTTCTCTCTGACAGTATCTTCTTTCTCTTGTAGTTGCTCTTGGAATTCTTTCTCCATTTTGTTCAACAACTCTTTCACTTCCTTTTCTTTTAATTTCACCTCTTCGTCGTGTTGGGCCTTCTGATTTTTCAGCGCTTCTTGTTCGAGTTTCAAACTTTCTTTCAGCTTCCCGATCTTCTCATCTCGCAGGGTAATACTTTGGCTGAGTTCGTCAATATTTCGTTGAGATTGTTCCTTATGTTGATTAAGTTCGCCAGTCAACTTTTCAACTTGTTTATTTAAATCAACAAGCTGTGACTCTTTATCACCAAGATATTTGTCGCTCTCAGCAGATTTACTAGTGAGTTCCGCGCGGACCTTTTCCAACTCCAGTTTCCACTTCTCATCAATAAGCAATTTCTCTTCTTTAAGTTTCAAAACACTTTGTTCGTATTCCTCTTTCAAACTTGCTAACTTTTTCTCGTAATTACTTTTACTCTCCGAGGCGTCTTGAAGACTCTTTTCTTCAACAAGAAGCAACTGTTCCTTGTGCTTTTGAATGTCAGTTTGATATTTCTGTTTAAAATTTTCAAATTGAGTTTTAAATTTCTTTCCAAGAGAGTCTAATTCCTCCTTAAGCTTCTTCTCGCTTTCCGAGGAAGCCTTTAACCTCTCTTTTAGTTCAGTGTTTATTTTTTCGAGTTCGTTCTTTTTAGTTTCTATCTCTTTCACTGCCGTGTGTTCTTTTTCTTTTTCCGACTGAAATACTTTGAATTCTTCCTCGCGTTTGCTGTTAAACCCAGCTTCGAGCTCTTTAATTTTAACAATGGCTCTTTGCTTAACAGCTTCGATTTCTTTGTCTTTCTCGGTTTTCATTTCAAGAAGTTTTTTCTCCAGTTCTTTGGAGTAGTACTCCTTCTCCGTAAGTTTTCCTTTAACATCCACCAGCTCTCTTTCTTTTTCCTTTAGGCGGTTGTCCCTATCTTTTGTCAACTCCTCGATTTCGCTAACTTTTTTACCTTCGCTTTCCTTGACTTTGTTCTGGAGCTCACTGACAGCACTGTCTCTCTGCGCCAACTGCTGGCGTAGATTTTCAGCGAGTTTGTTCGCATCAGCCATTTTCTTTTCAAAATCACTGACACTCGCGCTTTTCTCTGACGCAGTTTCTTGCTGAATCACATTAACTCTCTCCTCAAGTTCCTTTGCTTGGTTTTCCTTCTCAGTTAGCTTTGTCCTTAGTTCCTTGACGACTTTTTTCATGTCATTCGTTTTGCTTTCCATTTTCTTAGACACACGAGCCAGCTCGGACTGTTTGTCGGCCTCGTACTGCCGCTCTTTCTCTTCTAAGTCTTTGGCGTGTTTTTCGTCCACCTCTTTCCGCTGTTTCTCCAGCTCGGCCGCCTTCTGTTCGGATTTCTTTACGCTCTCGGTCATTTCACCGACTTTAGTTTGGTGTAGTTTCTTCAACTTGGCCAAACTCTTTTGGTGTTCGTCCTGTTTTTCTTGCAAAAGATTACTGTGCTGTTGGATCATCTCTGCGATCTTTGCCTGTAACAAAGACATTGGCAAAACATAATACTCTTAGTAAATCGTTTAAACCAAAGAGCGACAGACCTTATTCTCGGGTACAATGTAATCGTCCGGATTAGAAAAAAATGTAAATCTTATTTACAGTGGTCATGCACTTCGCTACACAAGCACTAAGCTTAGCTAGTTTACAGGCATGCCACTGAAACAAAGGAAACAAATATTTCAAATAAACGTAACTTAGTTAAAAATCCCAACTGGCAGGAGGCAGACCAGTTGGCCATTTACAAAGTGTGACCGAGGATTTCAACTCGGAACTACCGAGAAACAAATCTCGCTAGTGGCAGGGTGGAGGCCTTGAACCCGGGACCCCCGGACTACAACACTAGCGCCTTCAACCACTCGGCCACACTGCCTCCAATTGTCGTGAAAAGGGCAGCAAAAATCATCTTCAGCATCGAGTGAAAAGTTATTTTCAATTGGCGTTTCATCTTTTCACTTGATTCGGAAGACGCCCACCGTTTACAGTCTCAACGCTTGAGATGTCAGCTTCACTAACTCCCTACGCTACAGACATGCCGCGCCAAGCGCGGGAAAATTCAGTAGGCCAAGTCCCGGTTTGTCTGATTGGAGGAAAGAAGAGGAAGTTTCCTCTGATTGGTCAGAATGGTCATGTGCCTGCTTGTTATTCCCTTCTGGATCTGAGTTAATGATTGACCAAACACGTTTACTTTCATTGGAGTCCGGTATGTAAGATTCGTTTAAACAATCTTCGGGAAAGTTTCCAAGTCCTGATGTCAAATCTAATTTAAACCGCGTGCGAATCAGAAACTTGCCATGTACATTCGCCACCAGTAGACAGTAAGCTTAGCCAGTTTATCATTTAGACTCATTTCAGAACAACAGCTTAAGCCCACCTGTTCTTGATCCAGTCTCTGCTGAGTTTCTGACAGCTTCGTCTCCAAATCTGAAAAATAATAATGCAAACCTGTTATTACTAACCAAAGCCTCTATTGTGACAATTTATAAGTACCACTATTACAGCTAGTGCATTTTATACTTTGGCTTAATCTGGAGATGAGTATAATTTGTTTTACTACGTAAGATTTTCAACAAAATCCACACGATTCCAATACACCTTTTTTTTTTTACCGATAAGGCGGCCATTTTGATTTCTGTTGATTTGAGAGACATTATGGGCAGCTCAGGGGGGTAATTAGTACGTATTTCCCACTCGAATCATCCCGCAATAGCTATTTGAAACAATGGAATTCAAAATGCCGCCGTATCGGTGAAATGGTCTACTGGTTCTTCTATTACTGGCTACTGGCTGATCGGACGGAAATGCTCTTGCCTTGCTTTTGAAAGGGAAACAGTTCTTGATTTATGGCTTTAACATTTGGTAGTTATTAGACTGCAGTCGTTTGAAGTGTCTACTCCATTGTAAAACAAATTGACAGTTCCTAAATCGCTCTCGTCTTCTACGAGCGTGAAGGGTGCCTCGAAGTCTGCAGAGTCACTACGAGTTATTTTTCCTACGTTCAGGTTTTTTCAAATCTCCTGCAGTTAGTACAATGTACTTTCGCTTGCGGTTTCGACGAACTCAAGACAAAATAGGGTCTATGGACAGACAACATGTAGCACGTACCTCGTTGACTATTTCCTAAGAGAAATCTCGACCTATTGTACAAAATGTATGTAGTCTATCTGTGAATAAGATAAAACACAAAGCAAAGTCTTAACGGAACACGTTGTTTCACTTGCCTTTCTTTTCAACAGACACTTTCTGCAGCTCAGCCAGCAGGTTGGACACCTTGCTGGCCTGCTCTTGGCCAGTTCGTGAAGCTTCCGAGTTGCGTTCCTGCAGACTCTGTGATAATGACTCCAGCTGAACCCTCAGGGCTTGTAGCTCCTTCTCCTTCTCCTTCAAGGCAGCTTCCTTCTGCAGCTCTTTCTCGTCAACGGCAATCTCAATCTCCTTCACCTAGTGACCAGTCACAACAATTAGAACTCAGAAATTGTTGGTTTTCACTACAGTAGGGCTGGGAGATAAGCGAACCATCAAACGCGTTTCAAACTCGTTGACAAAAAGAAGTCCAAGCGTCGGTACGTTTTCACGCAACTGGAAACTCGTTTTTCATCAACGCGTTTTTCCTTTGTTATTCATTTTGTCGCCTTCAGTTTGCTTTCTTTATTGCACCTTCTCAACCGAGTCAAAGGAAGCCTCGAGCTGAATTGAAGATGGACGTGAGTGTAAATAATTGCTAGCCGAAAAACACTTGCCACTTAGTAGTGTATTGTGAAATCTGTTTTTCTAGGGCTTGTTCAGCCCATATGTTCATGTTGTGGCCTCAATTTATTTTGGGTTTAAGATTTTTCCTAGCAGTCTGATTTTTATATCGCATTGTTTCAGATTATGACAATAACTGAGAGTATAACACAAAGAAAAACTATAAATCAAACTGGTTTGAAAGCGTACAGAAACTAGCACTGTACACGTAGCTTTGTAGAGACCACAGCGATGTTTCGCATTCATGTACACCAACGTACCTTTTCATTGTATTTTGCTCTCATCTCATCCTCCTTGGCTTGAAGTAACGCCTCCACTTCCTTTGTTTTCTTCGTCAGTGCCTTTTGAAACTCCATCTCCTTGGCGACAAACATTTCCTCCAGCTTTTCATTCTTGTCTTTCTGCATGACCGCCACGACTTCTGCCTTGTCTCTCTTTAACTTCTCCATCATGGCCTTCCTCTCATTCTCCTCCGCAGCCGCAGCAGCCTCGTACTTTGCAGTCATCTCTTGGATTTCTCGCTCCTTCTTCAGCTCGGCAATTTCTCGTCTTTTCTCCGACTCTTCAAGCTGTTTTTCCATCTTGTGGAAGAATTCGTCTTTCTCTTTCTTCATTTCTTCGTTCTGTGCTTCTCGATCCTGTAGAGCTTGCCTCATCTCATTGGTGTTTTTCACTGCCTCGTCTTTCTCGCGCAGAGCCGTTTGCAGGTTGTCCATCATGTCTTGGATAGCAACCTTTTTCTCTTGTTCCAATCTGAGTATCAAGGCTTTGGCTTCCCTCATTTGGTTGGAAATGATCTGGTCTTGCTTTAAAGACTGCTCCTAACGGATACAAGAGATAAATCAAAAATATTTCGAATGTACGCCCTACGGATAATATAAAAGGATGGCAGTTCCTAGTGAAGCAAGACTGGAGGCTGAGTAGTCCATTAAAGGTCCATAATTTGATTGGCCAAAGCGTTCAGGTACACTATAAGACCAAGCTTTGTTTGAGATTACAGTCATTGTGTTGCCTTTTTGTACAACAAACAGAATACACAAAAAAACACACACACGATACAACAAAAGATAACCCAGCACAACAAAACACAACATAACAAAATACGTCATAAAAATACAATACAACACAACGCAACACAACAAAGCACAACAAAACATAACAAGCCACAGCACAACAAAACAAAACAAAACATAATGAAACGAAGCACACAACACAACTCGACAGAGCAAATTCCAAAGTTCTACACAACACAAAAAACACACAATTCAACAACACAACAAAGCAGAGAACAGTAAAACAAAACAAAACAAAACACAGCACAACACAACACAGTGCCACACAGTGTTCACAATAAATCACAACACAACAACACATAACACCACAAAACTGTTCGTACTTTGTGGTTATTCAGTTCCTGAGCTTGTTGATCCACAAGAGCTTGAAGGCCATCAATCTGCGAAGGGATAAATAAATACCAAATGATACTTAATAAAATCAACGCACACAATGGTCCACAATTCTGACGGAGGGTTAAATTCAAGCCAATTCAAGTGACTGAAGATGATACCATACCGTGTGACCATCTAATTTAAAGTTGTTGAGCAGTTTAAAACCTAAAATTTGGGGATTTTTTCCACAATTTTGAACTTCAGGTACTCTTCAGACTTATAGGCTTCATAGTGGTTGCTAGGTAACAAAAAACGCTCTTTGTAACGACTTGCTGATGCCGAAAAAAGTTTAGGCAATCTCAAATGCTTCTGCTGTTTCAATGGCTTACGGCATACGAAACAGAAATACATGGGTTGTTCTGTTTGTAAACTGACAGCAAATACATGGACACAACACAATGTATGATTGCATACTTCAAAACATTCATTACTCTACATTATGCATCCTTACAATGCTTAATTTGATGTTCGCACCTTCAAATTGACGTGCAGAGTAAATCTATTCAATATAATTATAAACCAAGCTATGATGGATAATTTGATGTTGTGTTTGCTAGTCGTGTTTGCTAGTTGTGTTTGCTAGTTGTGTTTTCTAGTTTTGTTTGCTAGTTGTGTTTGCTAGTTGTGTTTGCTACATGTAGTTGTGTTTGCTAGTTGTGTTTGCTAGTTGTGTTTGCTAGTTGTGTTTGCTAGTTTTGTTTGCTAGTTGTGTTTGCTAGTTGTGTTTGCTAGTTGTGTTTGCTAGTTGTGTTTGCTAGTTGTGGTTGATAGTTGTGTTTGCTAGTTGTGTTTGCTAGTTGTGTTTAATAAATGTAGTTGTATTTGCTAGTGGTGTTGCTGGTTCTGTTTGCTAGTTGCGTTGCCAGTTCAAGAAGTACATTGAGATTTTCTCCTACTTGCTTTGCAGCTTGTTTAATATACACTGTATGTGTATACAGTACATTGTATGTACACTGAATATCCACTTCCAGTTGACTTCACTTCAAGGAGTATCGTATTGCAATATACAACGTAGATACATGTAAATGTATGTCAGACTTTTCTTACCTTTTCCAACAAACTCTGTTGTTTAAGTTTCTCCTCATCACTTTGCGACCCTTCAACAAAATTCAACAAACAACGAGTGTAAATTACTGCAGCTACACTGCACATGTAGAATCTACAACAGTGATTAGATGAGAGGTGAACTCTTTGGACAAAGTTAAAAAGAACATACATCCAAGCTACAGTTTGTAATAATAATATATTGCACCAGAACTGGGGAAAACCCAAAACAACATCGAGAAGATCGACTGGAGCTCAAGCACGACAAACTGGACTGAGCTAGAACCAACTGGAAAGAGTTGCCAAGGGCAGGGGGCTGGGCAGATCTAGGTGGGGGAAATTCGGCCAAACCCCGTTATTAAAAAAAGAAATGAGACATTATAACATGCTGACTGCCGGAAATCCTATTTCTGAGAACCTCAATCAGGGTTTTCATTAGAATTTTTCACAGGTGGCCAATAATGAATACACATACTGTGTAACAGGCAGTGTGAAGTGAGGCTGGAAGGGCCAAGCCAACAGGTCTACACGTAGGGGGGTCTGGAAAATTTTGAAATTGTAGGTTGCCAAATATTCAATTTCATGCATTTTAGAGAGCAAAGTGTTGTATCAAAGCACTTGATGAACTTACGGAAAATGAGCTGTTTATGAGCATAAAATTAGACATGGAACATGTTTTCTGAATCAATAAATAAAATATATAAACTAGCACACAAAAGAAAAATGTCACTATCCAAATGATCACATATATCACAACACTGTGTATCCGGACTAACCAGAGCAGGCAGCTAAATTTGTCTTTACAGCTGGAGGAATTCCACCAGCTGCCGACTTCTACTGAGAACCCTGCTCAATTTTAAAAGTTTTCCTGGGGTTCTTATATGTCCCCACCATCAGAGAACTTCAGGAATCAGGAAGCCTATTCACATGCTAGGGGAGTCCTGATGCTTCCCTAATCCCCTACAGGGGACTGCCTACAGGGTCCATATCTTGAGCCTCCTTCTTTAAATTCCTGTATCCAGCAGGGGAGATGGACATGTGATGATCTATGTTCCAATGGGATTTCAAAGGTTTAAATACATCAGTATTGCACCACTTGTTGTTTGCTTACCTAAACCTGCATCAAGAGTATCAGTGCCTGGCATTACTCGTGACCCTTGCTGCTTAAGGAGATGAACCTGTAAAAAAAATAGCAAGCATCAGCAGTTGAACACATAATGATACACTTGTAAAAGTTATTAAGGTTACCATATGCCTTTAGAACACTTTTAGAGGTGTCTCGCCTCCAACGAATGTACAGTAGTGCATTCAGTTTAAACTGTAGATACTTAAACCCCCATCTCAAATTAACGCTTGTAGAGCTGGCTATCACACTTCATGTATACCAAGCATTTTGAAGTAAAATGAATTGTCAATTTTTCACGACCTATGAATGTCACAAGTGTCCAAATAATCTTCTGGGTCACTTTTTGAAGGCTACAAGTCAAAGGGAATTAGTTTGTTTAGTCTCAAATTTGGACAGTAGCTAGTTTGACATATTAATAGCTGCTACTTTTAAGAGACAACATTCATGAATATGATCAATGGTGAGTATGAAAAAGAATGATAGACAATAAAATTGCCAACTTCATACACTGTACATGAATTAAATGTACAAGTAGACGTACAAGTACAGTGTAGCCCTGAAAGTTGTTCATAGCCCTTCCAGTTTACTGTTAAATATAAAATACATGTACGCGTAACATAAATCAACTGTAATTTGAAAATAGAAAATTTCATGAACCTGAGTCTGAAGTGCTTTGATGATGTCTTCTTTTTCATCAAGCGACAACTGCAGCGTTTCTTCCAAATGCATCTTGGCTTGCTTTTCAAGTTCTATAGTCTACAAATGACAGAAATAATTAACACACAGGTCAGTTTCTGTCTATACACTTAACCAATATTCTGTCAAAGTCTACGGCAGTTTTTAACCCATTGACTTCCGGAGCTTTTTGCTAAAAAAAAAAGGAATTTTTGGACATTATTTTTGGACACGTTCAGCCTGGATGTGAAATTACATGTAGCTGCAGTCTACTCAAAAAGGCATTTACAACGTACATGTAACAGCATACCTTTCTTTCCACAAGCATCGCATTGACAACATTTTTGCCTGGGCATGCGAAGAAATCAAAATTTTGAGATAGCTTTTCCTTTTCCTCCTTTCCTAATCTTTTTGCTGCAGTGATTCACCTTGTACTGCACTTGCTTCAAGTTTAAAACTTCCCGAGAAAGTTTAATCGAGACAGGCACTCAATACCATGGAGTAGCCAAGTGTAGTCAAGGGAAATTTTGCTGTGAGTTTTTCACTCAAGTTTCTGAACATTTTCATGCATGTTTTTATGTACCTGCCAACTTTTTCTGAGTTATAGGGGTAAGATTTTTATCCTGGGAGTGCCAGGTTTTTCAAAGACGACACAAACATATCCAAAGATTTCCGAAGACGTCCGAAAACTCCAGAAGACGAGGTTATCAAAAAAATGCTTTAGCCACACAGACCGAAGATGTTAGTTAATCATGACATCAGCGCTATTCCACTAAGATTGGAAAGTTTTGAACCGACAGTCACATGTATCTCTAAACATGACCTCGCTCCCAGTGTTTTCTATTTGAAGAAGGAAGTATTGTCATTAACACATTGTTTTCGTTTCTCATGTTGGTTTGAGTTTACATATTTTTGGAAGTTGTGTCAAGCAAAGCTGCAACCACTTTAACATTTTTCAGTAGGTGTGAGAATTTGGCCCGTAAGCGTGAGCTGGCGTGAGATTGAAATTTTTCATCTACAGGCGCGAGACTCACCCTTAAAGGAGCTCAGTCACGGTTTGCACACATTGAAAAGTTTAGCCTCAATTTTTTCATATTTGTCCTTTGTAATCCATGTTAATCTTCTCCATCCTTGGCCATCCTTGTTCCTTTATGGTTTATCATTATCTCTTTGGTGTTTTTCTATCTTATTAAACTGTTATTTTCAGGTTTCCTGTCATTGAAAGGTAATTTTGTATGTGGCCAAAATAACTCAAAATACCAGGACTGAGCTCCTTTAAGGCATGAGAGTTGGCAGGTATATACTGTACATGTATGTTTCAGGCTTCATTGACCCAATTGCTCTGATCTGGGTATCATTGGAAAAATCTTTTCCTCCTGCACAACTCAAGTATAGATGAGGCCAATTTTGGTCAAATGTGATGCCAAGAAGTGGAACAAAGGCTAATGTTCGTCATGGCCAGTTACTGCTGGCACAGGTGTCAAAAATTGAGTGCCCATACACAGGGGTTTCACTAACATTCTCAGCAGGAGGGCAACTGGTTTTCATGGACAGACAAACTTTTTGAACTGAACTTCTTTAACGCAATTCCTCTGAAATAAAAGTGACAATAGATTTTTGTTCAAACTTTGTCCACTGAATATTTGTCATATGATAACTTCAATTTTGAAATAAAAAACGGG